ATTTTGGTCAATGACATGAGACAAAGTATATGTGAACTGCTGTATGAAAAGTGAATTTACTCTGTAAATCTTCACCCAAATGCTAATAAAAAAAATAAAAAATACTGAAAATACCACGGACAACCAGAAGAATGGACAAGAATACGGAAAATACCACGGACAACCAGAAGAATGGACAAGAATACTGAAAATACCACGGACAACCAGAAGAATGGACAAATCTGTCCTGGAGGAAGTGCAACCGGAATGCTCCCTGGAAGCGAGCAAGCCCAAGGTTGACAAGTAAAAAGGCACAGTCCCGATGTTACCAGACCACACGGCAGGCCATTAATGCAAGTCCATTGTAAGTCCCAATGTGGGCAGAGCATGGCAGGCTGCTGAGCAACGACACGGCTACATGCAGGGTCCAAGCGTGCCACAGGCTAGAGACCATTCCCAAGGCTTCTGCTTATATACAGGAAGCAGACCACATCCCTAAGACAGCTACTCAGCTGCTCACAGTAGATTCCACCATGGAGTGGATTACCAGTCTTGTCATGGGGAATTCTACATCCAGCTGCCCAGCCACTCAACCAGGCCCAGCCAAGTTGACACACAACCTTAACTACCACACTTTGTTTTTTTTGCCATTTACCCACCCAGCTTGCAACCCCCTCACTGAAATAGCCACGTTTTCACTTATTTGAGCTCGTGGTTTCCCATTCGAACGCCTCTCTAAAGACCAATAAATCCTCTGAATTTTCATCAAGGTCTGAGTGGTTTTTCCCCTACGACAGAGAGCAGGGCACAGGGTCAGAGCAGGGCGTAGGAAGAAGGTCCCTGTCCTCGGGCGTCCTCCACACCTCTCCCAACAGACAGAATGGTGGCAAGTGTCAGGAGGTGAAGAGGGTGCGCCTCACTGCCAGCATGACTCACGGCCCTTCTGGTAAAGGGATGCTTCACCTGAGGTGCTCCTTCATTTCCCCACAGTGGGTTCGTTCTGAAGCCTACTTACTACCAAACCTGATGTAGAGACAGGGCTAGAGTCCTAGGCGCTAACGCAGAGACTGGAACTCCTGGCTCCTAGACCTGGGGATTGAAGGAGCTGGGGGCCACACTCCTGGATCTTGGGGGAGGTAGAGGCTGAGGGTCTGAACTCCCAAATTTGAAAGGGTGGAGAGAAGAAGGGCCAGATTCCTGTCTCTTGACTAAGAAAGTGCTGGAGCCTGAGGGGTGAATACTAGGAAGGTGTGGTTTGTCTCTCCTGGGTTGAAGAGGCAAAGGGCTGGGAACATTAGCTCCAGGATCCTGGAAGAGTGTAATGGGAACTCCACCTTCCTGCCAGGAAGAAGATGGCATAGTATCACCTGAACCTGAATCAGACAAGGAGCTGGGCTAAAGGGAGTCGCAGGCCACAAAGTGTATGAGAATGGCAGGATGCAGACCCCCAAGGAACCCATGGCTTCTGGGTGAAGGGGATCAAGGCATGAACCTAAGGTCCACCTAAGTCCACTGTTCTCCCCAGTGAGTCTTCCACATACACAGCATGTGGCCAACACAAGCATTATCTCAGCTGCATCTTATATCAAGGACCATCCAGGACACCTCATGAACACCATGGTGTTTGCAAGTTTGAAGGACAGACCACAAATTCCTCTGAGATTAGAGTCGAGAAAGTGATCAGGGGTGGGAAGAGAGATGGGGTTGTATTTGGTTTGCTTTGGGCCAAAGAAAATGCTGGTGATAGATTTGGGGAAGGTTTAGGAAAAGCAGTTAGAACAAGGGTTGGAGATGTATTTGTGGTTAGAAGTGAGTATAGGGTTAGATTTATGGGATTGGGTTTGGGCTGGACGGTGTAGGTTCATTTGGGTTGGCATGGTTTGGGATTGGGAATGGGAATGGGTTTGGTTTCCTTTTGTTTGGAACTATTTGGGAGTTGAATATTAAAATCATGACAGCAGGTTTGATTTGGGAGGGCAAAGACATGAAGATAAGATTGTGATGTTCTGGATTTGAGGATGATCACGGGTTTAGGAGCTCTGGTGGTGTAGTGCCTAAGGCACTTGACTGCTAACCAGAGGGCTGGTGGTTCAAACCCACCAGCCACTCCTTGGCAGGAAGGTTGGGCAATCTACTCCCATAGTGATACTGTTTCAGAAACCCAAGGAGAGGTCGCTAGGAGTCGGGTCCGACTCAACAGCACATAACAACAACAATGGGTTTAGTTTGATTTTGAAAGGGGAAGATGTGATGGTTGGGTTGAGTTTGTTTGATTTGTGTTTGTACGAAGTTGTTTGAGATGGTATTGGATCACTGCAAAAACGGCAAGGAGGTCACATGTTCTGACCTCCTCTAACCCTACAAGGGGAAGGCAGGATTACCAGCAGTAACCCAAGGCCTATTACTGCCAGGCCAGACATGTTGCCTCCCTCCAGTCCTTTCTCCAACCGTTCCTCCCAGAGCACCCACCACCTCTCTCCTGGGTTCGATAATTCACTGCAGTGGCCACACAGAACTCACAGATTATAGGGTTTATTAGGGAAGCACCAGGCTACAACTCAAGTTCAGGAAGAACGCTCAGTCTCTCTCTCAGCCCACCGTCCCTCAGCCAAGAGTTTCTCACAGTCTCTTTCTCAGCAGTGCTGGTCCCTCGGCGTCTCACTCAGTGATGCGTGTCTCTTGTGTCTCTTTCCCAGCAGCACGTGTCTCTTTCAGGGGTGCGTGTCTCTTTCAGCAGCACGTCTTCCTCAACCAGCAGTCAGAGAGACAGTTCTGCCTCTAGGAGGCCTCCTTTTGAGCCCGGCAGGGTGGTCAAACTAGCCAATCATAGCATCAGAACTCTAAGCACGTGAGAGAGAGTGGGAACTTCCCAGAACATTGTATTGTGCCACGCCCAACAGAAATAACCCAGGTGGGCGACTTTAAAATCAGGATCTCCTCCGTAGCTAATAGCAATTCCCACCTTAGAGTTTACAAAGACTTATGGGTAGAAAAGCCACACTAAGTAATTTACTACACCGCAATCACTTAGTAGCAAAATGTGTTGGGCTGAACTGAACTGGGTTTGGATTGCATGGAGTGGCATTGAATTGGGTTGGGTTAAGTTGGGTTCAAATACGATGAGTTGGCTGTGGTTGTGTTAAAATATAATTTAAAGAATGGAATAACTGGAAGAGAAATAATGAGAATGTTCATGCATTGTGAAGAATGGAACCAATGCCACTAAATAATTTGTGTAGAAAAATTGTTGAATGGGACTCTAAGCTGCTGTGCAAACCTCTACTGAAAACACAGTGGAATATTATTTTTAAAAGTAATCAAAGCACAAGTAAATTGAAGTTTGTAGGGTTTATTGCACTGTGCTGCAAAAGACCTCTTGAGAGGGCTGAAGGGCAAAGGTGTCTCCTTGAAGACTAAGGTGCACCTAACCCTTGACAATTTCAGTCGCCTCATATGCATGTGAAAGCTGGACAATGAATAAGGAAGACTGAACAAGAGTTGATGCTTTTGAGTTGGGTGTTGGCAAAGAATGTTGACAGTACCATGGACTGCCAGAAGAACTAACAAATCTGTCCTGGAAGAAGTGAAGCTGGAATGCTCCTTGGAAGCAAGAATGGCCAGATTTCATCTCACCTACTTTGGTCATGTTGTCAGAAGGGACCTGCTTGAACAGTTTCTCTTAGAAAGATCAGAACAAGACTGTTCCCCATGAGGTGGAGGTTAAAGATGTCCCGAATGTCCAAACTACCATGCCACTCCATCATTTCAGACATTAACTCCTCCTCCTCCTCTCAGTCATCTCTCCCATCTTGTTGTTGTTGTTGTTGTTATGTGCCATCGAGTTAGCCCTGACTCATAGCGACCCCTCCTTGGGTTTCCGAGGCAGTATCACTCCGGAAGTAGGATTGCCCAACCTTCCTTCCGAGGAGTGGCTCTTAGGGGTCTGTATTTTACTGTAACACCTCACAGAACTCACAGACACTCAAGGGATCGTCTCACATAGTAGTGATGGAGGCTTGCAGCCTGGTGAGTCCCAGGTCCGTGAGTAGGTCTGGAGGATCCTCCCAATTCTCAGGTTTTGATGAACCTTGATCAGCAGATCAGATGACGGCTGCTGTCCCAAATCCAGGGGTGAGATGAGGATGGTCCAAGACACCAAACCGGAGCAAGAGGAGGGCGAGCCTTCCCAGGAGATTAGTAGGTATACACCCTTAAGAAAGGGTGGTGATTTGAGCTGTACCCTCCAGCAAGGCAGGACTCAAGATACATTCCACCTGTGTTGCTCCAACAGAAATAACCCAAGTGGATGGCTTTAACAATCAGCAGCTACTCAGTTGCTCACAGCAAACCCCACCACAGAGCCAATTGCCAGTCATTATAGGGAACAACTACTACCAGCTGCCCAGCCAAGTTGACACCCGACCTTAACTACCACATCACCCCAAACAGGCATGGATAATAGGATTCACAATACATCACTGAATGGAGGACAATGGCTAGAAGGCCACATCAAACAATTCACTGCAGGACCAGTCCCTGGAGAAGGATATCATGCTTGGTAAAGTGGAGGGTCAACAAAAAAGGGGAAGGCCCTCAACGAGATGGATTGACACAGTGGCTGCAACAATGGGCTCAGCTATAACAAGGACCACGGGGCTGGCGCAGGACCGGGCAGTGTTTCATTCTGTTGTACACAGGGTCGCTTTGAGTTGGCGCCAACTTGACGGCACCTAACAACAACAGCAACATACAGGGTTCATTGGAGCAGTTATTCTGCATCCATACAGGGTTTGGATAAATAAAGATTTATTATGTTTCTAAAAATCAAATAAATGGCTCAGTTCAGGCTAATTCCAACAAGGCTTTTACAGAAAAGAAGGTGAGACAATAAAATTTAGCCATTGGCTAGGTTGCTATGAGTCGGAGATGGCTCGACCACACCTAACAACAAAAACAAGATCGCTATGAGTCGGAATCGACTTGATGCCAGTTGGTTTTTGTTTGGTTTGTTTTGGGCTTAGTTTCAACATGATTGATTGAAATTATACCCCCTCCTTCTGAGATCAGCTAACATTAGGTTACCAGGTGGTCTTTCATTTGTACGGATCCGGGAGAGTAGTGCACCAGGTTTAAAATAACAAAGGTTAGGGAATGACAAGGGTTATCGCTCAAGAAGGAAGGGAAATTCTTCTCACGAGATAAACCCTGAGCTAGTTCATGATTGACGGATGTTTCTGTCACAAAGAGAAACCTGCTTTGTGTTCACCGTGTCTACACATTATTTCTTTTTATATGTTCTTGGGTACATTTCATATTTATCAGCGACCTTTGTGAATATTGCTATAGACTCGGCAAAATCTGTCAATTCCTGTTCCTGGGTTTCTCTCTTTCAACAGTCTTGTGGAGTTGGGGATGCGTGGAATTTGGTTGGGTTAATTCGGTTGGGCTGGTGTGTTGTTCTTGCTGTGAGGTACTGTCGGCTCCAACTCACAGTGGCCCATGGACAACAGAAGGAAATGCTGCCCGGTCCTGCGTCATCCTTGCAATCCTCGCTTGAGCCCAAAGTTGCAGCCACTGTGTCCATCCACCTTGTTGAGGGTCTTCCCTTTTTTCACTGACACCCCACCTTACCAAGCCTGATATCCTTCTCCAGGGACTGGTCCCTTCTGACAACGCGACCAAAATGTAAGAGACATGTCTGACCAGTCTCGTGTCTAAGCAGCATTCTGGCTATATTTCCTCCAAGACAGGTGGCATTCATTCTTCCAGTGGTCCAGGGTACATTCCTTACCAGCACCACAATTCAAATGCATCAATTCTTCCGAGTTGGAATGGACCATATTTTTATTCCAATTCTAAATAAGTACTCGGATAGGGCACTGGATCCAAAGGGATTGCACTCATGCCTCAGCACAGGGTGATCTGGGGAACCACTGAGACTGTGGCCCTTTGGGACCTCAAGATTTCATTGAAAAAGAGTAGATGGCAGTTGGTTTTTGTTTTGTTTTGTTTTGGACTTAGTTTCAATATGATTGAAATTATACCCACCCCCCTTCTGAGATCAACTAACATGAGGTTACCAGGTGGTCTTTCATTTGTACGGATCCTGGAGTATAGTTCACAAGGTTTAATATAACAAAGGAACCTAGACTGTGAGTGTAGAAGTGGAAGAGTTGGGGAATTCTGAAAGCCAAGGCTTCTGTTTCAGGAGCCACAGGAATTGACGACAATGGTGTCTTGAAGTCTCAGAGCCCAGCTGCTGCTATTGGAGGGCACACTGGGCCTTGGAGTGTCAAGGACTTACATGGGGTTTAGGTATATGTGGCTTTGGATTGGGGTTGGTCAATGAGATTTTGTCTTCCTGTTCTGAACCCTGACTAGCCTCTCCTCACTGGCGCTGTCCCCAAGAGCAACATCCCAAGAGCTACGGGGCCCTCCCCAACTGGCCTCCACCCACAGGACTCCATCCAGGGAGATCCAGGACCTGAAGGACACTAGGTACCGGCTGTTCCTTCTCTTCCACAGCCCTGGCAATAGAAAGAGGTTGTCTGTCCCCAGGACCACGGACCAGGACTTGACCAGCATCTGGGGGCCATCTGGGCAAAGGAAGGGCCTTAGGGGAGTGAAGACTTTGTAAAGCCTTCTCAGGAATGCTCCCAGCTTCTAGCTCACCGCCTCTGTTACCTTGTCACCTTGTGGTTCCCGGTTTTGTGCCTCACTCTGACCCTGGGATGAACAGGTGAGACAGAGGTGTAGGATGCAGTGGGGGGCGTGGGCCCTGACTCTTACAGTGCTGTCAACTCCTTAAGTCCTCCCAGCACCTCAATCTTCCTTTCTCCAGCCCACTGTTTGCTCCAGATCTAAGTAACAAGATCTTTCCTATCTGTCCCAGCTCCACTCCCAAAACTTATCTCTAGCCACTTCTCACTACCATTTTCCTCACAGTGTTCATTCCCACACAAATCCTTTCTCCCTCTGGGAGTCTCTACACCTTTCTCTGTTTTCCAGACAGCTCCCTGACTCTGCAAAAATGGAAGAACCTGGCTCTCTCTCGCTCGCTCTCTCTCTCTCCCTCTCTCTCTCCCAACTGGCAGATTATCCAAGGACCAGGATGACTCACATGGAGCCTTATTGAGCCTTGGCATCCTTATGGGTAACTTCTCTTTTTCCATTTTTTAAAATTGTGTTTGCTTTACCCATCACTCAAATTAATATGTGTCTACTCTCTAGTTTTCCGGGAAGGGAGTGCATCAGGGTTTTATCCTTGCACCACACTTATTCAATCTGTATGCTGAGAAAATAATCCGAGAAGCTGGACTATATGAAGAAGAGAATGGCATCTGGATTGGAGGAAGACACATTAACAACCTGCAATATGCAGATGACACAACTTTGCTTGCTGAAAGTGAAGATGACTCAAAGTACTTACTGATGAAGAGTAAAGACTACAGTCTGTGTGTGGATTACATCTCATCATAAAGTAAATGAAAATCCTCACAACTGGACCAATAGGCAGCATCACAATAAATGGAGAAAAGATTTAAGTTGTTAAAGAGTTGATGTCTTTGAGTTGCGGTGCTGGCGAAGAATGCTGAAAGTACCATGGACTGCTAAAAGATCTAACAAATCTGTCCTGGAGGAAGTGCAGCCAGAATGCTCCTTGGAAGCAAGAATGGCCAGACTTCGTCTCACTTACTTTGGTCATATTGTCAGAAGAGACCATTCCCTGGAGAAGGATATCATGCTTGGTAAAGTGGAGGGTCATCAAAAAAGGGGAAGGTCCTCAATGAGATGGATTGACACAGTGGCTGCAACGATGGGCTCAGGTATAGCAAGGATTGAGGGGCTGGCACAGGACCAGGCAGTGTTTCGTTCTGTGGTGTGTGAGGTCGCTATGAGTCAAAGCCGACTTGATGCCACTTATCAACAACAGAAACAACAGCCCTCTAGTTAGTGGTTTACCCTTCCTTCCCTTCCCACCCCTGGTAACCATCAAAGAATGCTTCTTCTTGTGTGAAAACCTTTTCTTGACTTTACAATAGTGTTATCACACAATAATTGTCCTGTTGTGATCGACTAATTTCACTCAGTACAATGGCCTCTGGTTCAGCCATGTTCTGAGATGTGTTGCAGATTCATTGTTGTTCTTTAACATTGTGTAGTATTGTGTGTATGCACCACAGTTTGTTTCACTCATGAGCATTTAGGTTGTTTCCACCTTGTTGCTATTGTGAACAGCTCTGCAATGAAGGTGGGTGTACATATACCTGTTCCTGTCACGGCTCTTATTCCTTAGGATATGTACCCAGATAGTGGGATTGCTGGATCATATAGTATTTCTATTTCCAGCTTTTTAAGGAAGCACCATATCATTTTCCACAGTGGTTGCGCCATTTTACAGTCCCACTAGTAGTGTGTGAGGGTCCCAGTCTCCACACCCTCATCAGCATTTGTAGTTTTCTTTTCTTTTTTTTAACTTTGCTGTTAGGGCAGGGTGAGATGGTATCTCATTATTGTTTTGATTTGCTTCTCTCTAATGGCTAATGGTCGGGAGCATTTTTTCATGTGTTTGTTGGCTGCCCAATTATCTTCTTTGGTGAAGTCTCTGTCTCTCTTTGAGGGGATCCAGCTCTTCCAAGGAGCTCCCCCAATCCCATTGGTCCCTGGGACCGTGGTCATCCCCTCTGTCCCTTAGGTCTCTATGGCCCTATGATCTGCCTCCTAAGCCTCCAATCCCACCATACCTCACTGACTTTTCCCATCCAGCTGTTAAGTTCTCAACCCTTTATTCCAAACCCTGACACCTGTCCCCCCAATCCTGTTCCCTAAATTTCACCAGACATTCCTGCCAGTTACCAGCTAAACTGTCTGGACCATGGCATTGAATAGCCCCTAATAGCATAGTGCCTAAGACACTTGACTGCTAACCAGAAGGCTGGTGGTTCAAACCCACCAGCCACTCCTCGGAAGGAAGATGGGGCAATCTACTTCCATAGTGATACTGCCTCAGAAACCCAAGGAGGGGTCACTATGAGTCAGGTCTGACTCGATGACACATAACAACAATATCAATATAGTATGCAGGTTTGGCATATTTTCCCTCCTTCCCGAACTCATTCCCCTACTTCCCATCCAGTATTTCTAGACCTCTCCCCCTGTTAAAAAAACCCCACCCCCCCAACCATCCTCATAGAATTTCCACCGTCTCAGAATCCTGTCTTCCTCCCATTATACCTCTCCCTCACAGCTCTGGTTCACTAAGACACCCAAGATCACAGCTGTTATACCTCAGAGCCCCCTGTTGTTATTGATAATTATTGCAAGTCCATTGAGACACATGGTGACCCCATGTGTACGGAGGAGACCTGTTCCATAGGGTTCCAAGGCTGTAACTTTCAGAAGCACATGTCCAGGCCTGTCTTCTGAGGGACCTGTGTGTGGATTTGACCCACCAACCTTTCAGCTGGTCATCAAGCACTCAACCATTTCTGCCACCCATGGATTCCTGAATGCTCCTCCAACACCCCATTATGTGATTCTTGGGCCCCCACAACAACTTGGCCCCATTTCACCCCTTTCTTCATACCTGCCCAGGGAGCACCCCAAGAGACCCTCCAGTACCCTCAGATCATGACCTTTTCCCCTTCAGAAACAGTCTGCCCCTCAGCCTAGCCCAGAATAACCATCTCTCATCTCTCACTTCCCCAGAGCCCCATTCCATCTCTGACACCAACCTTGTTCTCTAAGGTCCCTACTTCCTCTTCAAATGCCATTTCTGTTCACAGGATCCCAAAGCCTCATAAGATCCCTCTACCAGCCCTTAACCCCAAACTTTCTTTCACCCTTTGACATGGAACCTCAAAGTCTTCTAACTTTCCCAACCCTGCTGACTCCTTCCAGCCTTGATCCAAAACCAAACAAAAAATTCACTGCCATTGAGTCAATTCCAACTCATAGAACCCCCGATCGGTTTTCTAAGGCTGTAAATCTTTATTGAAGTAAATTGCCTCATCTTCCTCCCATAGAGTGGTGGTGGGTTCAAACCACCAGCTTTTTGGTTAGCAGCCCAATGCCTTAACCACAGCATGACCAGAGCTCCTTATCCAGGAACCTTCAAATGACCCACAGATTTCTCAGGCTGGGTGCTCTTTCTTAGACCCCTAACTCACATTCCCCAAACCTGCATCCTTTTCACAAATCTAATAGCCCACCCACTTCCTCAACATGGGATCTCCTAAAGCCCACCACATTCCTTCTTCTTCCAGCCCCAGCTCTCTTCCTTGGGACGCTCATCCCTGATTACTGGGACCTTTCCCCATTTCAAAACCCACAGCCTCCTGTCCTCCCATCACTGCATAGAGCCCAACATCCCAGATCCAGTGGCTCTTCCTCAGGCTGTCCTGACCTCTCCTACCAGATCCCTGGTCTGTTCTCTGCTCTCAGAGCATAAATGGCCCCCATCCAGGACCAGCAACAAACCCACAATAAAAGGGATGGTTCCAGACTTTCAAACCCTTCTCAAAACCACTTGCCCACCACCCAGACATCCAGTCCCTATTTTCCTCCTAACGCACAGCACAGCTTCCTCTCCTAGGCCAGTCCTCTGCCCCACCTGACCCAGCACCCCTTCCACAGGTGCCATGTCCCCCATCCAGTCCCGGATCATTGGAGGCTGGCATTCCCAGCCCTCACAGGTGGTTAGGTACGGCTGCAACAAGTTCAAGTACAGAGCCTCCTGTACCCCAGGTGGGCGCTCATGGCCGCCTACTGCATAAACGAGTAGAGGTGGGGGGGTCTTCTGAAGGTGTCTTCTATGCTCCCACGGGGAGAGTAGGGGGCCTTTCCGCTGGAGTAATCACAGGAGATGCTGAAAACTGAGGGGAAAGAGGGAGGTCCAGATCGCAGGGAGAGGTGCAGGTCTGGGGGTGGCAACCCCACAGCAGCCCTCTCCATGACGGCCTGAGCTCTTCCCTGGGTCTCTCTCCCAGTTGCTGTCTCTCTGTCTCCCTCTGTGTTCATCTCTGTTTCTAGACAATGGGTACTGTTTGTGTGTCTCCCCCTGTGTGACAAAGCTGTGTCTCTGTCTCCCTCTCTCTTCTCTGTGTCCATGTCTCTGTGTCTTTCCCTGCCTCTGTCCATCTCTTTTCTCTGCCACCATCTCTGTCTCTGGATGTCTCGCCCTCCATCTCTGCCGGTGGCCCAGCCCCGTCGGTCTGGGGTTCTGCCTCACTCCCTGTCCCATCACCGCTGAACAGACACATCCCAGGATGGCCTAGGGGGACCCCATAGAGAAGGATTATCCCAGTACCTGTGGGTGAGCCCCACCCTCCAGGACAATTGATAGAACAATTCCAATCTCCAGCTTCTTCTGGTAGCATAGTGCCTAAGGCACTTGACCACTAACCAGAAGGCTGGAGGTTCAAACCCACCAGCGACTCCTGGTAGATGGGGCGATCTACTTCCGTAGTGATACTGCCTCGGAAATCCAAGGAGGGGTCGCTATGAGTCGGGTCCAACTCGATGGAACTTAACAACAACAGGGAGATACATGGAAGGGCTGGTTTTAGCTGGGGCTGGATGGGCAGAGAAGAGGAAAGGAGAAAGGAGAGAAAAGTGAAAGTGGAGGGAAGGAGGGACACTGGCCTTGGGCTGTGGGCCAGGCCACCACCTCCTGGGGAACCAGCAGGTCAGCCACAGTCGGCCACAGAGCAGGCTCTCAGACCCCCTCTCCCCACACCCATCACCTTTTCCACCCTCCCCTTCTCTCTCATGCACTCTGTCAGCCCTTCCTCTCTGCTCTGGCCCCCTCTCTCCCTGTCAGAATTCCTGTCACTTTCTCCTCTCGTCTGTTCCCACTCATACTTCTTCCTTGTTCTGTTTGCTTCTCTTCTTTGTCTCTCACTGTCTCTGTCTTCTCTCTCCCTCAGGCTGTCTCCTTACTCTCATTCTCCCTCTCTGTTCCTCTCATTCCCCTGCCCTTTTATGTTGTTGTCCTCAGGTGCCATAGAGTTGGCTCCAACTTGCAGGCATCCCATGTGCAACAGAACAGAACGCTGCCCGTCCTGCCATCCTCATAACCCTCATCATGCTTGAGCCCATCGCTGCAGCCACTGTGTTGGTCCATCTCATTGAGGGCCTTCCCCTTTTTCGCCCACCCTCTGCTTGACCATGCATGATGTCCTTCTCCAGGGACTGGTCCCTTGTCGTCCACAGTTGCCCCCTTCTTTCTTTCATACCCTGCTCTTCTGTCCACACCTTTGTCTTCTCACTCTATTTCCCTGTGACTCTGTGTGTTTCCTGATGGCGAGGTTTTGTCTCACTTACTTTGGTCATGTTTTCAGGAGGGACCAGTCCCTGGAGAAGGACAACATGCTTAGAAAGTAGAGGGTCAGTGAGAAAGAGGAAGATTCTCAAGGAGATGGATTGACTGCAACAGGGGGCCCAAGCACAGCAATGATTGTGAGGCTGGGGCAGGGCCGGGCAGTGTTCCATTCTGTTATACATCAGGTTATTGGAAGTCAGAACCAACTCACCCACCTCTAATAATAACACTAACCATGTGCTTCCTACTGTCTATGTTTTCCCCACTATTTCGTTCTCTTTTTGGGGAGCATGTACTAAAGAATTTGAATGACTTTTGTCTCCAGTTCCTGGGGGCAAAGGGGGAAACAACCATCAGCATCAAGTTGATTCTGACTCATGGTGACCCCATAAGTGTAGAACTGCTCCATAGGGTTTCCATAGGGTTTTCAATGACTGTAAGGTTTTGGAAATAGATCACCAGCCTTTCTTCCACAGCCCTCTGGGTGAGTTTGAACCACCAACGCTGAGGTTAGCAGTCCAGTGCAGACCACTCGCACCACCTAGGGATTTCTCAGCTCCTGGGAGGTGACCTCCAAATCCTAGGAGATAGAATGTTTGTTATTCAAGGCTGGATCCTAGGACCAAAACCCCGTGCTTTATTCTAATGAAGTGGCTCTGGTGAGGTGGTCATACAGAAAAGACTAATCACGTGATTAGAGGGTTGGAGTTTGATTATCAACTTGACCTCCAGGGAGGAGGGGGGCTGGAGATTGAGTTCAGTCATGTGGCCAGTGTTTTAGTGCATTGTGCCTAAGGACGCCCCAGTAAGAACTCTGGACTCTGAAGCTCAGGTGAGCTTCCTTGGTTGGCACTAATTTCTGTGTATTGTCACACGCTGAACTGTCAGGACAGTAACATGTGCTGGTTCCACCGGGAGAGGACAACGGAAGTGATTTGGTCACCTAGTGCCACTCTTAACAGAAAAATACCACAAATGGGAGATTTCAATAAACAGTTTATTCTTTTACAGTTTTGGAGGCTAGCAGTCTGAGTTCAAAGTGTCAGGTTCTAGAGCCTGGGTGAAAACTCCTCGACCTTGGGCTTCAGCTCTGCCTCTTGCTCCCAGCCCACTGAGGCTGGAGGCTTCTCTTCACTCAGGCAGCTGCTGGCTGCTGAGGTTGACAAACCCAAGGTTGACAAATAAAATGGCACAGTCCCGATGTTATCAAACCACCCGGCAGGCCATTGATCAAGTCCATTAAGAGTCCCAAGACTAGCAGACAACATGGCAGGCTGCTGAATGAAGACTCGGCTACGTGCAGGGTCCAAGCACGCCAAAAGCTGCAGACCATTCCCAAAGCTTCGCGTTATATACGGGAAGCGGACCACATCCCTAAGGCAGCTACTCAGCTGCTCACAGTAGATTCCACCGTGGAGCTGATTACCAGTCTCATCATGGGGAATACTACATCCGGCTGCCCAGCCACTCAGCCAGGCCCAGCCAAGTTGACACACAGCCTTAACCTTAAGGGAAGCTTCCTGATCTGGACCTTCCCAGACCCGCACCCCAGGCTGGTTCTGGTTTTTATCCTCTCACTAATAAACTATAATTAAGTTCCACACTTTACTGATTTCACTCCATGGGTCATTCTAGTCAAACTGGAGAAAGTCTATGAGGGCTTCCAAACTGGTGGGCAGCTGGTCAGACGTGAGGGTGCCCTGGGGACCCCCAAGCTTGTGGCGGGTGTCTGACGTGAGGAATGGAGCCTTAACCTGTGAAGTTTGGCCCAGCTCCAGGGAGTTGGTGTCAGAAGGCATTCAGGGCTCCCCCTCCATCTTCCCCGTCCCCATGTTCCATCACCTCTTCCCTCCCCTCAGAATTTACCAGGTCTCTCTGGGCCTCCACAGCCTAAAAGCTCAAGAAGACACAGCTTAGCTTGTGCAAGTCAGCCACAGCTTCTCACAACCACATTTCGACTTTAGTCTCCTGAAGAAGAAAAGCATCCTCTCAGAAGATGCCTCAGCCATGGCCTCATGCTGCTCCACCTGAAGAAGCCCGCCAAGATCACAGATGCCCTGAGGATCCTGGGCCTGTCCACCAGGGAGCCTGCAGTGGGGACCATGTGCAGCATCTTGGGCTGGGGCAGTACCCAATCAGATAAAGGTATGCCTGGGACAGATGGGCTACACGGAGACCAGGTCCCTGGGTCTAAGGGAGGAGGGGACTGGCACCAGGACCCTGGATGTGAGTAGGAGGAGTTGGGACCATGGGGCTCAGTTACAGCCCTGTTTCTCGTGATCCCTAGTGTCTCTCTCAGACGATGTCCAGTGTGTGGACGTCACATTCATGCCCAACATTGAGTGGCAGTCCCGACACCCGCATAAGGTGGCTGTCAAGTTGTGCACTGGGAACGTGATGGTCATCAAAGACGCCTGCAGAATGAATCAGACTTCCCCCGCCAGGACCTGCAGGGATGTGGGGGGGGGGACCCAGTGTCTACCCCCTGCCCAGTGCCTCAGCCCTCTCCCCCACATCCTCCTCCACTTCCCACACCCCACTCCTCCACATCCTGGCCCGTCCCTTCCTGCCTTCACTACATGTTTCCCCAGCATCTACTATGTGCCTGGCACAGTCCTGAACCCGGGGAGACAGCAGTGAAAAGACATAAAAAGTCAACAAGCATCTCTCTCTCTCTGTCACACACACACACACACACACACACACACACAGGACAGCGTGTGTCAGGGGTGAGGCGTGCTGTGGGGGCGGGGAGGAGAGAGAGGAGCGCTGGGGGATAAATAGCCTGGTCCGGGAAGAGACCCAGTGACAGGGCCGACGGAGCAGGCACCCGAGCAGGGGAGGGGCCGGCTGTGTGGAAAGCCGGGGAGGGGCCCCGGGAACAGCGAGTGCAAAGGCCCTGAGGTGGAGTGGGCGTGGCGAGTCTGCGGAGAGTGAGGGGCCAGTGTGGCCGCAGCTGAGTGATGCAGGCGGAGAGAGAGGGAAGAAGGGGCCGGTCCCTGGGGGGCCACGTGAGGACCTGCTCTTCCGGGGACAGACAGGAGCTGTCTGTTCAACAAGCCCTGACTTTGGTGTCGACAGCGCCCCCTGGCCGCTGTGTGGGGAACAGACTGCAGGGAGCCAATGAGGGCGATGCTGATGGGGGCGGGACCGGGGTGGGCCAGGGGCGGTGGGAGAAGGGGTCGATTCTCCCACCAGTTGAAAGAGAGCCTGCAGGTTGGGAGTGGGGAGTGAGAGGCAACGAGAAGTCACGGACTATCCCAAGCATTTGTCTTGAGTGAGGGCTGAGCATTTGCAAGGAGCCGTTTACAGTGAACCCCCCTCCACCCACACACATATGCCACCCACCCTAAACACTCACCAGGTCCCCACTGAACCCAGCGGCTTCCACCACACCTGCCCCTCCTCAACCACACGATCCCCCAGGCCCTGGACCGTCCCATCCTACCCTCCCCCATGGACCCGCCCTCAAGCCCGGCCCATCCTGCCCCCTGCTGCTCTGACTCCTCCCCCTCCCCATCGCACTGCCCCAGCCTGGCCTTATTCCCACTTGGACCCCATGCCCAGCCTTCTGTACAGGCCCCTGACCTTCACGGCCTCCCCTTCCTTCTGCTCCAGCCCTGATCCCAGTGCAGAAGCTGGACCCTGAAGTGCCACCACACCCACTGGGCCGAACTCCGGCCACTGTCCCCTCTATTGCGATCCCCAGCTGTCCTCTTCTGGGGGGTGGATTCTGGAGACGATCGTCTCTTTCCCCGACGACTGTCTGTGATTTCAGGCCTGAGAGCTAGGAGTTCACAGAATGGGTCCTCGGTGACTTCTCTCTCTCTCCTCTGTGCTGTGAGGGTGACTTGGGGGGCCTGCTGGTCTGTGATGGAAGGCTGCAGGGTATGGTGCTCATGGGCAACTTGCCACTTGTCATCTATAGTACTCCTCCACCTTCACCAAACTCATGCCACACGTGGGGCAGGTCACAGACAGCATGGTGGCCCACCCCTGAAGACCCCCACCTTCCCCCTAAAATCCCAAACCCAAGCTCACTGCCATCGAGTCAGATCGACTCATAGAGACCCCTCCTTGGGTTTCCGAGGCAGTATCACTACAGAAGTAGATTGCCCAACTTTCCTTCCGAGGAGTGGCTGGTGGGTTTGAACCCCCAGCCTTCTGGTTAGCAGTCAAGTGCCTTAGGCACTATGCCACCAGAGCTCCCATGCGGCCGGTACTCACACAGGTTCTTACAGGATACACATAAGGAGGCTGGTGCCGTGTTATTTCTGGGGAAGGAGAGATGGAGGCAGGCAGGGGTCTGCCCTGGGACAGTGACATGAGGCAGACACACTCAGGGGGTCACTGAGCAGAAGTTGGAAGCACAAGGCACCAGACACACACACCAAGGAGGCACCTTAAAGCCGAACCTGCCAGGGCAGACCTTCAGCGGTGGCGCTGATCTTAAGTGGCACCTGTTACTTCCCTAACAAACCACATAACCATGAGTATGGTCTAAGTTCCGTGGCTGTTTCAATGAATTATCAAACCCAGCGGGGAAGCAGAGAGCGCCGTGGCAGAAGAGGCTGGTGTCAGGAACGACGGAGAAGTGGGCAGGTGAAGCTATACCTGACCGCGGTTCTAGGGGGCAGCTCTGGACCGATCCCGATTCCTCTCCGTCGTGAATTTAGGCAATTCACTGAGCTGTGCCACGCGAGGAAAGGGACTAAATCAGTTGTTAAAGGGACGAGTCAGTGGATGAGCAAGTGAACAGAAAACAAAGCGAGGCCTGCCATGGACTGCTGGTTTGGTTTTCCTTAGCCTCTGCGTCTCGTGGCCCCTAGACTTTGGATGTGGCCTTGACTCCACTGTGGTTTGGGCCAGGCGTGTGGATTCAATTAAATGAGCAAGCCTTGGCCATAGGCTTAGGAGCTCTGGTAGCATAGTGGCTAAGGCACTTGACTGCTAACCAGAAGGCTGGCGGTTCAAACCCACCAGCCACTCCTTGGAAGGAAGGTTGGGCAATCCTACTTCCATAGTGATACTGCCTCGGAAACCCAAGGAGGGGTTGCTATGAGTCGGGCCGACTCGACGGCAAATAACAACAACAACAACAGGGCTGCTGCCTGGGCTCTGTGGGTGTGGCCTCCACTCCATGGGCGTGGCCTCAGCTCCACGGGTGTGGTCTCGGCTCCTTGGGCAGGTCTAGAACTGACTGCTAAGCAGAAGGCAGGCGGTTCAAACCCACCAGCCACTCCTCAGAAGGAAGATGGGGCAATCTACTTCCGTAGTGATACTGCCTCGGAAACCCAAGGAGGGGTCGCTATGGGTCGGGTCTGACTCGACGGCGCATAACAACAATAACAGGCTGGAGCTGGGGCATTAAGAAGCTAAGTCTCTACTCCTGAGGGTAGGTGACCCAGACAGAGGCTGGAGGGAGCTGTATCCAGCCTGGGAAGGGTACCCCGATGGAAAATACATACAGCCCTGGGTTCACATCCCCGCTCAGCCTCTCAGGCGGCGGTAGACCAGATAGGCTGTTCCTTGAACCCCACACCCTTGGCCATGAGGTAACAGGAAGAGGATGGGATTGGAAATTGAGGGTGGAGGTGGGGCTGGGTCAGAAATGGGGATGGAGAAGAGGGTGTGGTTGGTTTGTCGTTGGCCTGGTAGTCAATTCCTACACCAATGTTCTGGTCACCTAGTGCCACTCTAACAGAAATACCACCAATGCGTGGCTTTAACCAACAGGAGTTCATTCTTTGACAGTGTGGGAGGCTGGAAGGCCGAGTTGAAAGTGCCAGGCTCTGGGGACTGTGTGAAAGCCCCTTGACCTTGGGCTTCAGCTCTGCCTCCTGCTCCCGGCCCACTGAAGCTGGAGGCTTTCTTCACTCAGGCAGCTGCTGGCTGCAGGGCTGACAAACCCAAGGTCGACAAGTCAAAAGGCACAGTCCCCATGTTAACCAAGCCACACAGCAGGCCATTGACTCAAGTCCATTAAGAGTCCCAAGACTGGCAGAGAACATGGCCAGCTGCTGAATGAAGACTCAGCTACATGCAGGGTCCAAGTGGGCCAAAAAGCTGCAGACCATTCCCCAAGCTGTTGCTTATATACAGGAAGCAGACCACGTCCCTAAAGAGGCTTCTCAGCTGCTTGTGGTAGATCCCACCATGGAGGTGACTGCCAGTCTCATCCTGGGGAATAACTACCACCAGCTGCCCAGCCACTCAGCCAGGCCCAGCCGAGTTGACACGTCACTTGAACCACCACACCAATGGACTTGACCTTCATAGCCTCAGCCTGAACCCATTACTCTGTTGCACACACAGAGTAAAACAGCGGCGCACGGGGCCACAACCTCACGCTCGTGCAGCTCCAGGCACCAGCCCCCCAAGTCCAGCTCCACCTCCCCTCCATCAGCTCCTCCCCGGGGGCCCGTCCCAGTCCCACGGCCTCATCTGCTGCAGGGGCTGGATGGCGACGGGGGCTGTGGAGCGCCACCTCAGGGTCTCGCGGTGTCTCTGCCCTTGACTCTGTCATGGCTGCGGGGTGGCCATGCCCAGGAGGTGACCGAGGAGTTACGCAAACCCCCCTCCCCACTGCTGCACCCTCGCGGCGCGCGCGCTAGCACAGGCCTGCAAAGGGAGGGGTCGTGCGTCAAAGCCCTGGGCTGGGCGGGGCCGAGGAGAACGGAGACCTGCACACACCGGGAGACAGAGGTGGGGCAGTGCCCCCCAAAACGGCGCCCAGACTGCGGCTTGTTTGGTCAAGGAAGAGAAATTTGCTAACTGACCCCCTTCCCCTCCCCAAGGCCAGTGGGGCCCTTCTCTAGCATAGTCACAGGGCATTAAAAAGCTGAGGCAGCGTCTCAGCAGAGTACAGCCAGGTGGCGGTCACAGGGCCCCACCAGCCTGGGCCTGGTGCCGACCTGTCCCGGAGCAGAGCCGCAGACCCCATCTCCAGCTCCTCCCACCCGGGCACCAATATCCTGGCGGAGTGGGCGGGGCCAGCGGTTCTGGGACTCGGACCAGCTGGTGCCGCCGGGCCGCCCGCCGCCGTCTGCAGACATCTGTCACCTCCTACTGCTCCTGCGCGGTGACCCCGGCTTGCCTCTGCGTTTCCGTTCTAAGACGTTCCTCGCGTCTCTGAGGACCTCCGGGTAAGTTCTTCGTCCTCCGGAACGTACTCAAGAGGCGGTCTTAGCCTCCCTCGGTAATTCCCAGAACAAGCAGAGACCCAGACAGCGTGAGCCTGGAGACACAGGGATGGGGGGTGGGGGTGGGAGAAACAGGCCGGTGGAAGCCGGGCGTGATGGGCTCGGGTTCGGGACGGCCGCCCGCAGCCCACTGTGCCGAGTGGCGCTGTGCTCCACAGGGTTTTCAATGGCTGTTTTTTTTTTTTTT